ACTGCATAGTAACCTAAATTTTTTTTATCAACTTCAAATTTGGAACACAACTTATTTAAACAAATGGCTTTAATTTTATGCCAAATTTGGATTAAAAACTACAGTACATTTTCTTAACAGTAAATTTAAACTTCTATAACTTTTTTTTACTTTCATTTTTTTTAATGAATTCACTTCTGTGATGTTTGGAATTCAATTCCAAGCAACATTACATGGAAGAGGAAAACCAGGCCAAGGACGTTCCAACAGCCATAACATTGCTGTACATACAGAGGTTTACCAACCCCCCATGACAACTCTGACGTTGCCTTTGAATATTCGTAACCATCATCTGGAAGCACTTATTGACACCGGGAGCTCTTATTCTTTGATCCAAGAGTCTCTCTGGGATCAGATCAAGCACGAAGGGGAGTCTTTGCAGTCCAGTAAGGGTCAAACATTTTCTCTTGCCAACGGTCATATATAGCACACATTAGAAAATTTTTAAGTTGGATTTTGCTGCCGCATCTTATGTACTCCCTGAAGAGGAGGAGTCACATTATTTCACTGCTCCCGCCGGCTTTAAATTTCTGATGTATTATCTTCCACTACTAGATTGCACGTAGCGCTTCCATCTATGCAGATGAGTGATCCTAACCGAACAATGATAAAATAACTGGTTGATGCAGCTGAGGTTTCACGAAGTCAAAAACGACAGCTAGAACAACTGTTGTTCGAATGAACCACGGTGTGCACAGATTCATTAGGATGTGCTTCCAGCATTACCCATCGAATGAATACTAAGGACGAAATACCGGTAAGGAGAAAAGCATATCCAACACCTGTCCATAAACAAAAGCTCCTGTGGAATTTCATTGACAAGTTTTGTTTTGTCTATATTGACGACATTGTGATATATTCTACCAATGTCCAGTAACATTATAGACATCTCCGTCAGCTATTTGCTGAGTTGGAGGCTGCAGGTTTGACGCCGAACCTGAAGAAGTGTAACCTCCTTCAAAAATCCCTTTATTTTCTTGGACATGTTGTCTCAGAGGGGGGAGTGAGGACTGAACCCTCCAAGGTAGAAGCCATAAAAAACTTCTCCATTCCCAAGACGGTGAAGGAAGTTCAGCGTTTTCTTGGATTAGAGGGGCTGGTACCATCGCTTTATTCCCCATTTCTCAGAACAGGCAGCACCTCTCCATGCTCTAAAGAAGAAAGAGGCTAGATGTGAATGGACCACAGAGTGTCAGTGAGCTTTTGAAACCTTGAAAGAAGCTCTTCAGAAAGCCCCTGTGTTGCGACCCCCTGATTTCAGTTGTGACTTTCGAGTGCAGACTGATGCTAGTAACATCGGGCTCTGAGCTGTCCTTACTCAAGGGTCAGAGCAGGGAGAAAGTGTCGTAGCATATGCTTCAAGACTTCTGCAAGGAGCTGAAAAGGCATATTCTACAGCAGAGAACGAATGCATGGCAATTGTGTGGGCTGTGGAGAAATGGCGTGAATACCTAGAAGGCCGTTGTTTTGATGTGATCATGACAGATCATTCCGCTCTTACCTGGGTTTTCAACTAACCCCGACCTTCATCCCGTCTCGCGAGATGGGCGATTAGGCTGAAGATCTTTGAGTTCATCTTGAGGTATCGGAAGGGTCAGTGTAACCTAGTTCCGGATACGTTGTCATGGGGGTTGGAGGAGGAAGTCCAAGGGACCATAGCCCTTTCGCAAGCAAACAGTGTACCATATGATTTGCCGGTGAGCTGTTACTCTCCAACCTTTGTGGGATGAGGTAAAGGATGGTAACACAAGCTCCGTGTGCATTATGTTAACCAGAATGGTCATCTCTTCAGAAGTACCACTGACAAGAATGGGGGTCAGAGTTTACAAGTTGTCATGCCAACTAAACTCTGTGAACAGTGTCTGCAGTATGCACATGACAGTCCATTAAGTGGGCATCTCTGGCATATGAAGACATTACGGAGGTTACTAGAGGTAACATATTGGCCTGAGATTCAAAAAGATGTCTGGAGGATGTGTAAGGAATGCCAACTATGCCAGCAATATAAACCCCGAATCTCTAAACTTGCAAGCGCCTCCAGTCCACACCAGTGGTTGAACCAGGGTACATGCCCCCGCCACTGGACTGTGGAAATGTGTTCTGGAATGAAAACGTGTGGGGAGTTTCATCCCATCTCAGATGAAATCACAGTCTGGGGCAGTATTCAAAACAGTGTTCAAAAACATGAACATGATGAATAGGACATGTGTCTTTGCATGGTTAAACGACATACAGCTGTTATCACTTAGGGTGTACTCACTTTTGTTGCCAGCTATTTTGACAATGGCTGTATGTTGAGTTATTTTCAGAGGACAGTAAATCTGTACTGCTATACAAGCAGCACATTGACTACTCTAAAATATATCCAAGTTTAATTTCTATAGTATTGTCCCCTTGAGAAGATATACTCACTTTTGTGAGCTACTGTATATTAGGATTTGCGATTAATCAAATCTAAAATAAATGTTTGCATAAAATGTGTGGGTACTTTGTATATTTATATGTATAAATATTCACACACATGTATATATGTAAGAAACATTTACATGTAAATATACATATTTATATATGATTTATATTATATATAAATATAATTATATATATTACATATATTTCTTGAATATTCATACACGGGTTAAAGCAAAAAAAAAATCCTGAGCCTGAATTTTTTTCCGGGGGCAGGGCAGCACATGCAAAGCATGCAATGACTGTGGCAACTTTAACATTTGAAAGGATACTATGGCAAAATTATTGCTTTCTTTATTCGAATTTTTTTCATGAATGTATGGTTGACCTGAAGAATGAAAGCTGTATCATACACTTGGAAAATTATGAGCTACATCACCGCTTATCGACACTAGGGGTGTCACAATACACTTACTAGAACAAGACAATATTTTAAAACTATTTTTAAGAAATTTTCAATGACAAAATATTTGTCTTTTAATTACAAAAAGTAAAACAATGCAGTTGTATTAAGAAATATTTTAACTAATCTAGGGCTGTAACTAATGATTATTTTGGTAATCAAGTAATCTGATTATTTTGACAACTGAGTAATCTGATATTTTTTAGTAAAAAACAGACCTAAGTGAAAACCAGGCTTTAATAAACTAACGATGAGGCATTAATAATTGGCTCAAATAAAATATCAAAAACAAGAAATTACATGATTGTATTGAACAACACTGTTAAAATACAATGTAATATGCCTATACATAATATGAACATGACCAACTTAAGTACATTATGTTTTAAAACAAATACCTGCAGAGGGCGCCAATAGCCTGGTGACGTTTCACTTTACAGCGTGATTAAACAATGTTTAAATCCATTAAATTTGGCCACATACAATGTATTCTCGTATCCAGTGCGTGGATACAACCACCCTTCAATGATAAAAATCCATTTACTCCTTTCTTTTAATCCCCTAAAAATGTAAACAGTCTTAATTATCAAGCCGTGCTCAGGCCCCGTCCACACCCACTGACGAACTGTCACGTATTAGCATATTTCCGCCTTCAGCCAGATGTACGCTGTCCGCCATTTTCTCTGCGCTTGAGCAGCTGTAGCGACAACAATGACTCGTAAGCAAAGTAGATGTTTTGTAGTTGGATGTAAAAGAGTAAGTCCCATAAGTCTTCATTTTCTCCCAACATAGCTACTGAGGATGCAGTGGATTCGTTTTGTTTTTGATGTTAATGCGCCACATTATACACCTAAATTTGTTTATGTCTGAGCAAATCATTTTAGTCCAGACTGCTTTCTGAACGAGGGACAATTCAAGGGAGGTTTTGTTAAGCCACACGCTCATGTCATGATACTATCGTGAACGAGCGTCCACAAGTAAAGACGAAAATGTGGAAAACTACTTGTTTGGTCTTCCAAAAGAGGACGATATCCACTTCGTCATGCCCTAGAGCTGATCTGTGCTAGTCGCTGAGGGAATACTTCAACTTAGTGCTGTGGATCGCCGGCACATTTTATGGAGGACTGTTTACTGATCCTGGGAGAGTAACGTTAGACTAAAATGTCGGCAGTTCTGACTCATGTAAGTACGTTTTCTTTTATCATTTGCCACTGATGATTCAAACGCGAGTTTTTGGTAGTGTGGAGTAGCACTTGTTGTTTGTCATTTCTCTGATCACAAATGCAGACAGGGTTTTATGTTTACGCGGCGCAATGCAATGCAATGCGTAAAAAGACAGTATAAGTCATTATATTCAGTAATTATGTCCCCACTGGATGCAACAAATGCCTCATTTGTAATGGGTTTTAATGTTTTTGTCTTGTCGCTCCGGCTGGAACACGCCATCACAGTAGGGGCGTAACATTTCCTTCTCACGCTTGAGGTATTCGGCCAATCACAACGCACTGGATATCTGGCCAATCACAGCACACCTCACTTTTTCAGACTGATGAGTATTGTAAAAATCGACGCGTTTCAAAAAGGCGGGGCATAGAGGAGAAACAATAATGTACAGTATGTGGAAAATAATGTGTTTTTTTTACTTTAAACTGCATAAACACATTTCATTACACCAAATACACAAAATAATGTTCTTTTTAGCAGCATCATATGACCCCTTTAAAACTGTAAACTCAATGTGAACCAACAGTGTATTCCAAAGATTGTATCAGTCACTCAGTATGTATTTTCAATCATTTTAAAATAATCTAATATTTATGAATTAGATTATGTCCTTAACCATTTAGTTGCAAGTGCAGTGTTCTTGCAAAAAGAGCCCGTCCATTCGCTCTTCTGATTGGTTGTGAATTTTTTTTATTGTTTTTTGCATCTTGTAGCCGTGTCGCATCTGCTGTGGACAGATAAATTGCTTGTCACTGAATCTTATCGTGCCTGGTTAGGACACAGTGTTACACTTGATTTAATCTTATTTAAGGTAGAAATACACTGAACATATACTTTAGAAATCTAGAACCATGTTTCTGCCTCTCACCTCATGTGTGTAAGTCCGCACAGGTACACCAAACGCTCTGGCCAGACCAAAGTCAGCCAGTTTGATCTCACCCTGAGCGTTGATTAGGAGATTCTGGGGTTTAAGGTCCCTGTGAAGAACACGATGAGAGTGACAGAAGGCCAGTCCCTGGAGCAACTGGAACAGGTAACTCTGAACAAATACAGAAAGACAATTAGACCAACAGATATAAGAAAAAACTATTTAGCCAACATTTGGCCATTACTACATTGTCTTGGATGTTTAACAGATGCAAGCTGCATTTGTTAACAACATCATAAGCCTACCATATTTTTATAGTGTAATTTATTATTAACAACAAGTGTGTGAGAAATGCGCTATACAAATATCAAGCGTAGCGTTAGTTCTGGCAGGTCACGTTAGTCAAGCTCGCATCAGCTGACCCCCATCTACCTATGGGAATACGACACCTATCTAAGCATTCATATATAAGGTCCATCAGTATTATCAGCAGTTTTTGCATTGCTCAATTGCTAATTACCCTCCTCCATCCCCAACTCCTCCTCTGTCAATCGAGATTCAGCCTTCTGATTCTCATTTGAATCAGACTAATTCTAAAATGTGTACATAAAATGATTGAACTTTAACAATATCTGCAATACATTTAGGTTGGTTCTGTTCTGTTTACCCTGGGGGGTTATTGCTGCTCTCCCTGCTCTCATCCATGCTAGGCTGCATGGATGCGCAGGGAGTTCTTGCCCAGAACAGAACCATACCGCCAATCCAAACTATATGCTAATTGTCAATCATCTTTGACTATAGTGGTCCTGACAGAACAATCTGTACATTTGTTCAGGTATGTTTTATTTTGTGGGTTTTGGGTTGCATTTACCGATATTTGTCTGCATTCACGGTAGACATGTGCCGATATTCAGTAATGCGATATATCACGGTAATAAATATGCACGATATTGTTATCGTGGGCACTTCTAAATATAGTGAATAATTATACATTACAAATTATTCCGAATTTTGAATGCATTTTAAGAATACTTTTCCCATCAACTGGTCAAAATGCAGAACACCGCTGTATGCTGCGTGAAAGACGCGTGCGCACACTGATGTAAACAAGCGCAGACGAGAAGCGCATGGCGGAACATGGTAGAGACGCTTTGGATGAAAGCGCACTTTCCCTCTCTGACAGCAGATGACGCTAAACTGCAGAAATGCAGCCGTTACCCCGGAAACCCTGTAAACAAAGCAGCTGCACTACTTTCTGTTTCTGAATCGTGTTTAAATGATTTAAACAGCCATTCAGATTTGTGTATTTGCTATGATGTTAATCACAGCGCCAAATACTTAATATTTAGACTTAATAGGCTATTTATTTTCAAACTTTTTTTATATTATAATTTGGACTACAACATGCCCTAGATACTGTTTGAAAGTGTTTTGATTCTTTATTGTTCGGTCACACTTTACATTAGGGCTTCATTAGTTAACATTATTTAATTCATTAGTTAACAAATTGCCAATGAAAAATTCTTCTGATTCTTAGGTATTCCAATATTTAATAACACATTGTTAAAATCGAAATTTGCAATGGTGTTATTTAATGAGCTAACATGAACTAAGACTTGTATTTTTTTTAACAAAGATTAATAACTTCTGTAGCAAATGTAGCTATTGCTCATTGTGAATGTTAATGCATTAACTAAGGTTACCCAATAGGTAAAGTAATACCTATTGGTCTTTATAGTTCTTTTGAACTTTATTCGGTGTAAAACTTTTAACTTTATACATTTGTAGCGTCTGGACCAATCAGACACACCATTTTTCATCTGATTTAACAAATCAATTATTCATTAGATTAACAAACGTTCACAGACCCCTCACCCAATAAACATACTGGGTTTCAAGTTGTCTGTGAACAAGGTCCAGGACCCTGGTTACCATGGCAACCCTGCCACCAGATACATTTACGATTTAATGGAATGCGAGTAGGGAAAATCACTGCCTTTTTATAGGAAGAGACACAATGCACAGTAGAAATGGACTTTTCTCTAATTAATCCATAGGAAAACCTTTCTTTGAATGAACACACATATCCTTCAGGTCATCGCGTATGTTGTCTTTGAGATTTTATACTGTTTTATGCAGGCTTATGATGGAAACACTCATTCCTGTCATCTTGCCTATATGTAATCCTACCATGTTTAGTATCTATGAATTCACCTTCTGATGATCTAAACGAGCGTGTATATTATATGTTGGTACATAGGTAATATATTAGTGTTCTGAAAATCTTTAGTAATGTCGATTCAAGTTCCATTTGCAAATTACCATGCCCTCACACAAACGGTCATAAAAACTCCCCAGTATCTCAAAACTCCCAATTGGGATTCCGGCCTTTCTCATTGGACAATGAGACCTTAAAGGCCTCACACTATGTGACCCGCCCAAAGTCGGTGGTTCTGTTAGGTTTTGAGAAGATGTGAGCTACAACGCTCCTCTTTACTGAGTTAAACTTTAACCCTTTCCTATATCAACTGTATGCGTGTGTGTGTGCGTGTATGTAGTATGTTAGACTAGTTTAAGTGTTTATGTAGTTAATAAAGTCTTACTTGTATCACACTTGACGTTGTTCATTGTTTGCTCATAACTGGAGTCCCTAATCATGCAGATTTATGCTACAAGCTCTGTGTAGAATTGTACAGTAAGAAAGTTATTTCCCTTAACCAGGAAATTAACATTCTTAGAATTGACAGACAGTTGACCCTGAGAGGTCAGCTAAATATCTACAGCGGATCTAAATATTTATAATTAATTATAATTAGTTATGATTAATTATTCATATTTCCCCATTAGCTGATTCGCTACACATTTTTATGTATTGCTTTATTGCATTTAAATGTTCAGTTATTTTTGTTATAAGAAAAAAGTTATTAAACCTGTTATACTGTATTATGACAGCACTTTTTTAAACTAAATTTCAATATCGTAATAATACCGTATACCGTGATAAAAGCATTAGCAATTAATCACAACATGAAAATTTTATACCGGCATATCCCTACCCGTGTGTGAGCTAGAGGCTAATTATAAGTTTAGAAACAGATCAATTTTTACTCGCTGAACAATCTGACTGAATGCTTGAGAGTTGCTCTTCATCAAGCGATCTGTACTTTTTCCAATTCATCTCAATGGATGCCCAGCATACCTGTATTTGATGCACCGTAAACTCTAGTGTGAAGGAGCACGACTCGCCGTCGCTTTGCTGATAGCGCTGTTTCTCAAACATGCAGAGAGTCTTACATACCACACTGAATCGATGCGCTACATGTAAACGATATTCTTTGTTGTATTTTCATGTCAAAATAATGGCGTTAATGTAGAATTATTCAGCTTTTAAGAACAAGCAGAAGATATGCTGGTTTCTCTGGTAGTGGGCGGGGCTAATGCGCAAACAGCAATCTCGTTGGCTGGCCCTCATCTATTACTGTTTCTGTTTCTGATTCAGCAAAACAATTTGAGCGAACGCTGACAACTATCTACCTATTCTTTGATCAATTTTGGGATTTCGAAAAAGAATTTCAAAAGAAACCCAATTAGAGCTTTATCAAATACCTGTAACATGTCTCTGGAACAGACATAAGGCAAAATAATCACTAAGTAAAGGTGTAACAAAATGTCTCTAGAATAGACATATGGCAGAAAAAAAAAATCCCGTGTCCAGGGATTTTTTTTGCCATGCATTGGTCATAGAGCTCTTTGTGGCATTGCCTCAGATGTTAAAACTAGAATTGTAAACTAGATTTGTTGCGCCAAGTTCACACGTACTCCGTCTGCAGTGCGTATACAGTATGTGTATGCGGTGCAGAAGCAGCACGGACTCATTTTGCTTTCGCACAGGACGCGTTTGCTGTCCGCTCCTGATCCGCGGCTGTTTACCACAAACATAACATTTATCCATTATATTGATTTCAAATCCAAACGTTGTTTCTGAAAATGCTTTTTCAGCATTGTGATTCTCTTTTATCACAGTACAGTAATACAATCTTTCATAGACATTCACGTTTAAACTCAATAAATATAACTTTGTTTAATTACCACCACGAGTGCCATCTATTATTGCCTTGTTTATCTAAAAATGCACTTTTCCTTTTTTTAAATCTAGCCAAAAAGCCATGTGTTGACTGTGAAACAGTAGACTTTAATTATATGCATTTATGGTGTAATTACTAAATTTCCATGTCAATCCATGTTAATTTTTACCGCAAATAATACGCTGTCACTTTAATTCAGCGCGTGCAGCACAGCAGAAATAGACTTGCGCCTGTGTCGAGCTTGTCTGTCCGCGGTTGAGTATACTTTGAAAGCTGTGCGGACGCGGCTGTGCGCGAGACGGAACGGAACACGGAGAGTGAAGTATACCCGGGCCTATAGACTCTCTGCGGAAACGAATGCAGAATGATTGTTGCAGACGCACTGCTCCTGGAGCACACTGCCGGACCGCAATCGCGTGCAGTGTAAACGCTCTGATCCGTTAACATGGATCAACAAAAATACGCACCACAGACAGAGTGTGTATGTGCATTTGTATGCTCGCCCGGTCTGTTCTCGTGCTCCATTTAGGTGCACTGCATTCTGATTGGTTCGGATAGCATACTGCGGGAGGTCGGGGGCGCGGAAAATCATGAATGAGAAATAGAGTGGGACATACCTGACAGAGTTAATAAGTGCAATAAGCAGTGAAAAATAACTCAATATGCTTCTCGGACTAACTGACACACACACTCAGAAAGCGCCTCTCTCTGACAGCATGTAATCACGAATTTGGGATGTGCGTGATGTTTAATAAAGATATTAAACGCAATAAGCAGTGAAAAATTACTCAATCCACTTCTCGCGCTGACTGACAAACAGCCGAAGCGTGTGCACTGAAAGCGCCTCTCAGACAGCATCCAATCGCGAAAACAGATCTCTTTGTGTGGAGTATTCACGTAAACACAGTCGTTTATGTGTTAAATAATCGTAAAGAGTTGGGTGAAAACAAATGTGTATCAGTATATTGGATCTGTGCAGTTGATCTTAAAGGGACAGCAGCCTAATTTACCTGTTGCCGTCTGTCATTATTAAATGTTAATCTCTCACTGCACCTGACTGAATCACTTTTGGATCTTTAATAAGAA